CAGTCACCCCATCATCCCCCCGGATCAGATTGGCCCATAACCGAGGAATCCGCTCTCTCTTCCGTTCCCGTCGAAATCCGCTCCGATCCGGAACATTATTTGGCCGCCCGTACACTGGAATTGGAGATACTGCGCACCAAACATCAGTTCGTGTTGGACGAAGAGCAGCTTAACATTCGACGTCGGGAACTTGACATGGAGCAGGAACGGATGCTGCACGAACAACGTCTGGAATCCGAGCGCCTTCAGATGGAAAAACAACGCACAGAATTGTTGCTCACCGAAGGCAGAAACCAAACGTTGTTATTACAACACAAGTTGGGCATCCAAAATGACGAACCTGCAGGAAATGATAATTCTACCCTCCCGCGACCAAGTCCCTGATACGGCATTGCTTTCCGTGTTTACGATATCGGTTAGCTGTATCGGCGTTATGTCGCTTCTTGTTATCTAGTGCAAGGTGCCTTTTTTTTATCACTTCCAATTGTTTCATATAATGTAGGCGTGTGTATACATTCCCACTGGTTTATCTGTAAGCGTCGGTTAAATTCCACCCTCGTTTTTTTTGGGCTTGCCAACTTGTATAGTATACATCTTGGTTTATGTATCTAGTATGCGTGTGTGTGTGTGTGTATGTGTTTTCATTACATGGGTTCTGTAGGGACCCTACACAATAGAGACCTTTTCCTAATGAATCCAGTTGTATTTCTTGCTTTAAAAGATACATCTTCACTTTTTTTAAAAGAATTTGAAAAATACATGATGATAAAAGGCCATGTTACTCCTAGGCGACGGATGCTTCCCATGCTGCAACCTAGGTGCGTTGAAATTGTATAAATTCTCAATATCGCGCAGTTATTTTTTTTAAAAAAAAAATCTCGGCTAGTTGAAAAATTTAAAAAAATGACGGTTAAAAAAAATTAACAAAAAAGAACATCCGAGAACCCGGATTTGAACCAGGGACCTAGAGATAACTTGACAAACTACAGTCTCCCGCTCTACCAACTGAGCTATTCTCGGCTTCTTGACTTAGAGACTAATTTTAACTATATGAGCCAAATGAATAATTCAGGACCCCTCCCTTGTGTTAATTCAACCTTGTTATTAGTGCTCACCTAGCAAAGGCTGTAGACGAGGTCACCTTGATGCAACTGGCTACTGTAAAGGGGTCGTAATATTTGGGCACGACCTGTAGAGTGCTTCTCCCTTTAGGCTATTTTGATAACTGAGTTAAGTAGAAGCCCAAGGTGAATACATCTGCTGCGGTTCACTAATGCATGCTCGAGAGCAAATGTGAAAGTCCTCAACTTTGTTTTTTTTATTCTAGGGAGTAGTCATACTTTCTTGGTATTGTCTGGAAAAGAGCCAATCCTTTTCGTTTCTTTTCTCTATTGCTTCTTCCTCGATTTTTTTTCCACATATGCGGTTAGCACCTCCAGTTAGCCATTCCTAGCATGCCCCAGTCCGACAATGTATTACGTTTGCTACTCGCTACGGATAACCATCTGGGTTATCTAGAAAAAGACCCAGTTCGAGGAGACGATTCCTTTTTGGCCTTTGAGGAAATCCTACAAATTGCCCAGACCGAGGAGGTAAGTTGAGTCAAGCTGCAGTTTCCTGTCCTGAAACTTTGATTCGGGTGAACTTCACCACTCACCGCTGAGAAATGCCAGCCGCCATTAGCATAGGAATGGTAACGGTCTCATGGGTACCTCCTACTCTATGGTTATGCTTCCGTTTCCATAATTTTATACCAAGCAAATGAACCAGTATGGTAGCCATACTAACACCTTGCACATTTGCCACGACTTATCCTGGAAGGGGAGCGCGGTTGTTCATATTGCTAATTACCTCCTAGGTAGATGGCATTCTACTGGGTGGTGACTTGTTCCACGATAATCGACCCTCCCGTAAAACCTTGTATCGTACCTTAAAATTGCTACGCCAATACTGCCTAGGTGACCGCCCGTGCGCAGTCCAGTTCCAAAGCGACCCTCTCCAGACCTTGGAAAACAGTTTTGGGGCGGTAAATTACGAAGACCCCAACCTCAATGTGGGCATCCCTGTATTTACCATCCACGGGAACCACGACGACCCTACCGGTGACGGAGGTCTCTCCGCCATTGATCTCTTATCCACCGCTGGACTGGTGAATTACTTTGGTAAAAATGAACAAGTAGACCGCATATCCGTACCGCCGTTGCTACTCCGCAAAGGGTGCACCATGCTCGCCCTGTATGGGCTCGGTAATATTCGGGATGAACGGTTACACCGTACTTTTTTAGCGGGACAGGTGGCCTTTACTGATCCGCCGGAGCCCCAAGATGAATGGTTTCAATTATTTGTACTGCACCAGAATCGTATTGCACACGGACCCACAAACTATATTCCTGAAGAATTCCTTGATTCGCGGTTTCACTTGGTGATGTGGGGCCACGAACATGAATGCCGGATCGAACCGGAACGAAACCCTACGCGAGGGTTCTCGATAACCCAGCCTGGATCATCCGTCGCAACCGCACTTTGCGAAGGTGAAGCCAAACCGAAACACGTGGCGATTTTGGAAATTCACCGGCAGGCATTTAAGCTACGCAAGATCCGGCTTAAGCATGTTCGACCGTTTGCCATGCAGACCTTAGCACTGAACGAAATCCCCGACCTTCGTCCCTTTGACGAACAAGGTACCATGCGCGCATTAGCCCGGGTGGTGGATGATATGTTGGAATCTGTGGTCACTACTTGGTTGGCCGATCTAGGATTAGGGATGACCATCCATGATCTACCTGAGGCTTTGCAACAACTGAGTTTACCTCTGGTGAGATTACGAGTGGACTATAGTGGAGGTTACCACGCCATCAATCCCCAGCGGTTTGGTAATCAATTCGTGGACAGGGTGGCCAATCCTAAAGATATTCTCTACTATCATCGCCAGCGTAAATCTGCAGCTTCCATTCGAAATAATATACTACTCAATCCGGCGCAATTGGCGCTGAACCCCAACTCGGTGGAAGGCCTGGGGATCGAGGATCTTGTGGAAGAATTTCTGGACGGAAAGGACCTACAAGTGTTTCTAGACCAAGAGTTAAACGAAGCGGTTCGACTTTTTGTGGACAAAGAAGAATCATCAGCCATCACCAGCATGGTAGGTTCTTACATCAAAGATACCCAAACTCAGTTGAACCGACGGGGCACAGTTGTGGACGACCAACAACTTCGACACGAATTGCTTTGTTTACGTCAACATCGGTCCAGTAAAAACGGACCCATGTCCGAGGATACTAGTGAACCCAGCTTTCTGACCGAAACGAGGGATGCACCGCAGGGATCTAATGATTCCCAAGGTGTTCAGGTTAAACGCGAACTAGATTTCGAATCGAACGCACAAGGTCAATTTGCAACGTTGGATGTGACGGAAGAACCACCCCGGACCCGCTCTCGTAATACGTCCACTCGTGCCAAAACACGTAAAACAACTGAAACACAACGTAACCGTATCACACGGACTAATCCCGTATTTCCTGTGGTAAATTGCGATAATGATCTCAAGGGACACTCCACTGATTCTGCCATTGTGACCCTCTCGTCTGATGATAATGATGGTAACAGCAACCAAATGACAGGTATTTCTGACCGGATTGAATCGCCCCCACCCCCTCCACCTTCACTGCGGAGTTCAGCACCAGCTACTCGTCGCACAACACGGTCCCAGCGTTCCCAGCTCGGTACCTCCTCTCGAAATTCTTCAACCACACAAAGAAAAACCAGTCAGCCCGCCCGACAGGCTCGACCGAAACGGGCATCCCGTCAAGCCACATTGGAGTTTTCAAGCGACAATGGCTTGGCCGCGGTTGAACCTCAGGTAAGTGAATCATATTTAATGGTTCTAATAATGGTACCTTTATGTGGGCGGCGAGTCACCTCCAATCTAATGCTTGCTTGGATACCTCTACATTTACGCATTAACCCTTTATCTAACCCATCACACTTCTGTTTTTCCATCAATATATTTTGGAGATAGCCTGATTGTTCATCTTCTATACAAACTGATCTTCTCGCGTTTACTCAGACTATTTCGTCTCAATCTACCACCCAAGACACGGCCCAGACGACTATAGTGGAACCACGCACCACCCGCAATTCTTCCCGAACTTCTAGTAAAACTCACCTTGGATCCTCCACCCAGTTACCAGAGCTACCGACGGTATCCGACGATGACGAACCGGATAATTTTGCCGAATTCTCCCGACTTTTACGAAATCGCGGTCGAGGTACCAATAATGGTTGAGTCCATCGCCACTTGCTGTTACCCATCGAGAATATGCATTTTTCCAAGTGCCCTCATGCTCAGATGAATATAATAAACCAATAAGTGAGATTTAATGGTTAAAGAAAAGGAAAGTATACCCTTTAATAATCAATAGATGTACTTTTCGGTGTAGTTAGCAAGTGCGTGTAATGGGATTAATCTAAGTGTATGCCGATGAATAGAGTTTGAATAAGTAATTAACTCCCACCCCAGAAAAATTAAGGAAAGGGAGACAAGTAGCGCGGAATATAAAATGTATTATAAAAAACACCATATTAAAATCACGATGGATAACGGAAAATAAGACAATAACATCTGTGGAATTCAAAGTGTATCAGGGCGTGAGTATGATCAAAACAAAGGAACCATTGCATATCACCCAATGGTCCACGAGTGAGAGAGGTCAACTAACAGCTACGAAAGGAATGATGTACAAAGCTGAGGGTGTTATTCCGAAAGATTATGGTTCACCAAGCCAGTATTGCTGTAAAATATAGGGTACTAAGAAGGTGGTTTTCTGAAAATTAGCTACTATATCTGTACCCCTACCAGTTTGCCACTTTGTATAAAATGCTTAAACTTCAGCCGCATCCACCTTGATTGCTCAATTAAACGACTTCAGACCGTCTCCATGGTCTGAGGTGAAGAATCCCCTCCTCCTCCCTCTGACGATCTTGAACCGGGGGTAGCAGCAGACTCCTCCGTGGTAAGTTTGCTGGTCAGGTCCGCACATAAATCCCTAACCAGATTCACAAACCGTTCTTGATTGTCCGAAATCAAGGTATGACACTGCCGCCGCTCTTGACGTAATTCTTCAATGTACTGATTAAACTCCTCCCGGGTTTCCTTGCGAATTATACTATACTCGGTACGCTGGTTTTGTAATTCTTGCAATAACCGAGTGTGCAGTTGACTCATTGAGTGCTGGTTGTCCTTTAGAATAGCCAAGGTTTCGGTTAACAAGTAGACAATATCAGACGGCGGAGTCGAAACAAGCGATGAGCCACC